GAATCGGTGGTATTTAAACACCATGATGATGGCTCATCCCCTAACCCAGTCGTAAACGATCAGGCTGTTTCTTGGGCTCTTAGAATAACTGACGGAAGAGGACGGGCCAGTCTTGGGTGGCGGCTTGAACTGCGCCCCTGGAGGGGACTAGGGGCAGCTGTGGTTAGAGATAGTAAAGCCACGTGCAGGCTGGACCTTGAGCCAGGGCCCCGGTTTCCTCCTTGGCTCTTACACTGCTGAGAAACTTGAGGAGTGGAAGCATTTAGATCAGATGGCCCGTGAGTGACAGCCCTACCCTGGGTTGCTAAGGCCTCGTTTGCAGCCTGCGTCTGCCAGTGCTCTGTCGTCCCTCCCTGGTGCCTCTGCTGGAGCCTTCCTGTTCGGGCTGGCGGCGCCCCCTGCCAGGATGGCAGTGATAAAAAAATGATGGAAAAGATAACAAGAACGTTGGAGAGGATACAGTGAAATCGGAACATTGTGCTTTGCTGCTGGGAACGGAGAATGGAAAACAGTTAGGTGGTTCTTCAAAAGTTAAACATCAGATTACCATAGGACCCAGCAACTCCACTCCAAAGTCTGTACCCCCAAAGCTTGAAAGCAGGGACTCAAACAAGTACCTGTGAATATTGCTGCTAAGAACATGCAAGTACTATATCTAAAAGGAAGAAACAGCCTAAAAGTCCATCAACAGATGGATGGATAAACCAAACGTGCTGTCTCCACTCACTGGAATATTATTCAGCCATGAAAAAGGAACACAGTAACAGGATGAGCCTCGAAAACACTCTGTTGAGTGGAAGAAGCCAGTCACAAAAGGACACACATGTATGATTCCATTAAATGGGAAGTCCAGTGTAGGCAGATCCCGTAGAGAGGTGAGCAGTTAGTGGCTGCCAGGGGTTGGGGCAGGAGGAATGGGGGGGTGACTAGTCATGGTTACAAGGTTTCTTCGGGGCACCATGGAAATGCTTTGGAACCATATAGAGGTGGTGGTGTACAATACTGGGAATGTACTAAATGCACTGAGTTGTATCCTTTAAAAGGGCGAGTTTTATGTTAATTGAGTCTCACCACAACAAAAAGAAAAAAAAGATCCCAACTGTCCTCCATTTCCCCTTGGGGTTTTGAACAGCCGGGACCTGAGGGGCCTGTTGCACACACTTGGCGCCCTCTGAGATCGCTGCCCCGCCCTCGCTGTCCTGGTGGGAGCTGGTTGAGGAGTGCTTGTCTCCAGCACTGTCACCAAAGCGAGTTTCCAAATGAAGTTTAGGATAAAAATTAAGAAGTCACAGCACTTGCCTCTTAAGAGATTTTTTTTTAATCTGACTTAGCTTTTCTCTCTGAATCCATGGATCTGTAACAAGGTCTGTGATAATGAACAAAGGTCATGGGCTTTGGGGTACTAGTCTGTGCAAACTCCTGAGCTCGTTGGCTGGATAATTATCACAGTGATCTCCGAGGTAGGGCTGTGATTTATTTATTATTATTTTTGTTAATCCTCACCCAAGGATATTCTTCCCAGCCCCATTGATTTTTAGATTTTTAGAAAGAGTGGGAGGGAAAGGGGGAAGGGGAGAGAGAAACACCCATGTGAGGAGACACGCACCCTGATGCCGGGGGGGCGGGGGGGGAGGGTAGGGGACTGAACCTGCCATCCAGGTATGTGCCCTTGACTGGGAATCGAACCTGCAACCCTTGATGGGCAGACCGATGCTTTAACCACTGAGCCACAGAGTTCAGTAGTTTTCCCAAGGCTGCACAGCTAGGGAGAGGCAGAGCCACGCTCACAGGGGAAAACTTGTCACACAGCCTGTTCCCTTTGTCCGTGATATTTTCAAGGTGCTGATTGTATTCGAATACATGTGATCATCCAGACAACAGGTTTTTAACGTTTTAAACTCAGATTAAAAAAAAAGAATATTTAAATTAAGTTACTGGGCTTTTTTCTACTTTTTAGTTACATTAACTTGAGAACTGTGTTTTCAAATAGAGAAATCCAAACTGGCAATTACGGGGATGTTTTCAGAAATAGGAAGCAGGATTGGGTTTTCATACTTAATTATATTGACTATCAAGTTCCACTACATCAACACAACACGACCTGGCTCTGATGCATTTTAGCCGCATTTTACAGCTACGTCAACATTTATTAACTTGATGGTGTAATTATCAACGTTTACTTTCTATGGTTATGACATTTTGATTTTTCTCTCTACCTTGGTCCCTTCTCCTTCTGCAGAGAATCCTGCCAGCAATAAGGCAAGATGGGGAGCAGCGGGAGCCGCCTGGGGCAGAGTGTGCATTCGCAGTTTCTTCCTGAGGAGCAGGCGGAGGTGGACCGGTTGTTCGATGCCCTGTCATCGGAGAAAAGCAGCGCGGCCTCGCCCAGATCCTTTTCTCTGAAGGCACTCAAGGCAAGAGTCACAGTCATCAATGGGGCTTAGTCCAGAGCGGGAGTCTGCAAACCATGGCCCCCGAGCCCAAATCGGCTCTGTTTTTGTAAGACTGAACTTGAGAAAGTTTCTCTCCTGTCAGGGTCAGGTAGCACACATGCCCAGCGTCGTAGACTCCTGTGGTCTCTGTCGCAGCTTCTCTGCTCTGCCTTCGTCTCACTTTCTAATGAGATTGAACAAAGGGGCCAGCCCCGCTTCCCATCTCCGGACCTGTCGGGTTCATAGGTCCAGTAACTGTGAAGGGTTCCTTTTGCCGTTAGGCTTTGTTAGGTGTGTGAAGTCCTAGGGACTTTATGGTTTGCCTAAAAAATAACGGTGTTTCAAAGTCAAGGTTCATCGGACAAGGAGTTAAAATGCCTGTTTCCCCACCTTTTTGCCTTGTTCCCGGGGGCTTTCACTGCCTGTCTGAGGGCTCAGACGGAGGGAAGACACCGGCAGAGACCACATGGGCTCCTGTGCCTGGGCCGTGGGCGGGAAGGCCCTGTGTGAGGCGCTCTGGCAGCCTCCTCTTGTAACGCATGCAGAGCGGGAGCCGATGGGCATCAGGGACCCCCCCACATACTCCCCTCACAGATGAGCAAACTGGCCAGGAAGGTGATGTGGGGCACAGCCATGTGGTGTACTAGTATGTGTGTGCATCTGTGTGTGCGCACGTGTGTGCACAAGTATCTCCACTGAACCCAAATCACCCCCATCTGCCTGGTCACCCACCATGCTGGAGCAGACAGAACCAGACTAGACTGGAGGGCACAGTGGGTGGCAGCATCCCTAAGTGTTTGTTGAGATAAATTTGGCTCGAGTTGATCGGAAAGCCTTGGTGACTATGTAGTTTCCTTTGGGAAGGAATTGGAGATTGCTCTTCCAATAGACATCCAGAAACACTGACGGAAGGAGATATACTCCTTTTGAGAGCCAGGGTGGGGACCAGCTTTACAGGAACTGCAGAGCATCGCTGTGTCACCAACGGGGTAGCAGTGTGAGTGGTTACAGGAGGATCTGTGTGCAGATCCCACCAGGGTGGAAGTTCGTGATTGGCTTTCTCTCACCATTTCTTTTAAATCTCTGGACCAAATCTGATCTGATGTCGGTCAAAAGGAAAGCGGTGTTTACGGAATGTTATTGGCAAGACATTCATTAAGAACTAGGTTTAAAATTGAAATAAACATTAATGTAAAATGCATGTTAAGCACACAGAACTTAGATAAGAAGTGCAAGCCAGCTACCATGTTTGGATGGCCCTAAGATAGAGGAGACCAGATTAGCTACAAATGGACATATGCACCATATGTTAATAAATTGGGACGTGCAAATGGCAGCTGTCCGTGTAGGAGGAAGGATATGTTCTAAGCAGAGTGAAGAGCAGACGATGGCCAGACGTAGGAATGACGTGGCCAGCCATGGGGAGACGGGGAAGTTTGGAGAGAGGGGAACAGATTGTGGAAGAACCTGAGGGCCACGACGAGCCACAAGCCAGGGTACGCTATGCATGTGGGTCCTTGGTGATGTGAGGCCCTTCGGCAGGGGAGCGATGGTGTGTGTGAGGATCTGGGACGGCTACATGCTGGTAGAAGCATCATGGCCTGGCAGTGGTAGGTCGTGGTCCCCTCGTTACCACGTTTAACTTGGACCCTGTCTAGCCCTTTCTCCTCCTCGCCCTTCACAGAGCCACATCGGGGAGGCGCTTCCCCCAGAGATGGTCGCCAGGCTGTATGACGGCATGCGGGGGGTGGACCTGACGAAACCGGCGAAGGGGCCCAGCGAGAGCGTCTCCCAGGAGCAGTTCACAGTGTCGATGTCCCACCTGCTGAAAGGGAGCTCCAGGGAGAAGAGTTTCATGATCCTGAAGATGATTTCTGCCACAGATGGTCCCATGAAAGCACGGGAAGTCCAAAAGGTAGGGAGGCCCCAGGACCATTGCAGCCCTCCAGGTGGCGTCGGTGTCCGTCAGTGGGGGACTCGGGGGGATCAAGCCACTGGTGGAAGCATCAGAGATGCCCACCTTTGGGGAAGCCTAGGTCACATCACCGGTGGACAAAGGCCTTGGCAAAACCGGACCGGCCGAGGGATCATTAGTAAAGTGAATAACTACCCAGGTTACATGATTTTCCCTCAATGTGGCCATTGCAGTTGGCATTAAAGAGATAAAACACCCCCCCCTGCTGACCAGACGTAGGTCACCGGTCCTGGTAGAAATGTCATTCATGGTGAAATTGTAACCTTCAAGTTTACAGAGGATCTCGTCGGCTCCCTGGTGCACGTGCTGAGCCACAGGCAGGAGCTGAGAGGCTGGGCGCAGAAGGGCGCTCCCGGCCCCCCGCCCCGGGTGCAGGCTCTGGCTGTGCAGCTGCTCTCCGAGGTGAAGTTTGCAGGCAAGTGCCCTGCCCGTGCCCACACTCCGGGGCCCCGGTGGCGGACAGTGGTACCATCTGTCTCGATACTGTAGGCTTGCAGTCAAGTTTTGGAATCAGAAAGTGTGAGTGTTCCACCTTGGGAAGACTGTGTAGATCAGTGGTTCTCAACCTTCGGGCCCTTTAAATACAGTTCCTCATGTTGTGACCCAACCATCAAATTATTTTTGTTGCTACTTCATAACTGTAATGTTGCTATTGCTGTGAATCATAATGTGAATATCTGATATGCAGGATGGTCTTAGGCGATCCCTGTGAAAGGGCCGTTTGACCGCCAAAAGGGTCGCGACCCACAGGTTGAGAACCGCTGGTGTGGATTGTCTGATCGATTGGTTGGCATATCATTGATCATAGTATTTCCCTATAATCCTTATGCTGCAGGTTGAGGTGAGTAGCTATAAGGACACGTGATCGCCCACTAATACTGTCTCCCCTTCCCTAGACGGCGAGAAGCTGCTGGGGCCTGAGCAGCTGGACTATGACTGTGACCCCGCGGTGATCGAGGACTGGGTGTTCAGGGCCCACCTGGTGGCCACGTTCCTGAGTGTGGTCATCCACAGGGGCTTTGGCCTGCACTGGCCCCTCGATCTGTCCACGCTGGTCCCTGAGCGTCAGGTTGACCAGGGGCAGAAGTTTGAGAGCGTCCTGGACCTCCTGTCGGTCATCTACGTCAACTCCCACCTGCCCAGGGAGCAGCAGCACCGCTGGCACCTACTCTTCTCGTCCGAGCTCCACGGCCACAGCTTCGCCCAGCTCTGTGGGCGCGTCCCACACCAGGGGCCCTCCGTGCTGCTCCTCGAGGACCTCGACGGCCACGTGTTTGGTGGGTTTGCCTCCTGCTCCTGGGAAATCAAGCCTCAGTTTCAAGGTAAGACGTGGCCACCGCAACCCAGCGGTAGCAGGGTGCGTGTCAGGAGTTCCGGTCAGACGGCTGCAGCCTGGGGACCCCTGAGCACTGGCAAAGGGTGTGGGTGTTAAAAGGGTGAGCCGTTCTTCCGGCTGCTCCTCCACGTGTTTGCCCCGCTGTGTCTGGGAGGAGAGGGCACCGTGCTGCTGCTTTATGGTGGGTGGACGACTCATGGGTTTCCTTTGGTTCCGACGGCAGGGTCAGGTAAGCAGGCCGCGTATCCTCACTTGGATTTTAGGTTTTTTTATTTTTTAAAAAATATATTTTATTGATTTTTTACAGAGAGGAAGGGAGAGAGATAGAGATTTAGAAACATCGATGAGAGAGATACATCGATCAGCTGCCTCCTGCACATCTCCTACTGGGGATGTGCCCGCAACCCAGGTACATGCCCTTGACCGGAATCGAACCCGGGACCTTTCAGTCCACAGGCCGACACTCCATCCACTGAGCCAAACCGGTTTCGGCAGATTTTAGGTTTTTTTAAATGGTGCCAGGTCCAGGTCATGGGAGAGGCTGGGCTGTGGATGCCTCATGCGGGAGCCGGAGAAGCCGGTTCTTTCCGATGGGACCGTCTTCCTTTCCCGGAACCCCTGTGTGTCTGCTTGCCGCCGCCGCCATGGGTTGCTGGTTTTGTGCCTTTGCTGGGGTTTGGAAGCTCTTGTGGGAACTCGAATGCAGCGAGATCTAAACGGCTCTATGAACCTCCCCCTTCCTCGAGGAAAAGTGCTCTGCTAAACGGCGTTAAAGGCCGTTTTGAAAATGCTCACCTGCTGGCCATACTCGGGGGCAAAACTGCCTTCCGAGGGTTTGGTGTCGCCGTGTGTCCCCTGGTGTGTGGCCCGTCTGCCCGAGTGTGTGTTCTCAGCAGGGTTCCTCGGGGCCAGTGGCCGTGGAGGGCTTTTCCTCGTGGCTCTGAGCGCAGGCGCATTCCCGCTCTCACTCCCACGGGCTAAGTGAATTCTGGGCAGGGTCCCTCCCCGTGAGGGGCGAGGTTAACACCCTCCCTGGCTGTGTTATGGAAGGGAGGTTCCAGGGACCTGAGATGCGGGAGACAGAGGAGAGAGGCCTCTTGAACGGAGACTGCACATCCGGTCACCAGTTTCCCTCCATTCTGCTGCGTCCCTCCCGCCTCTTCGTCTTCCTCTCGCTTTCAGAAGCGTGGGCAGCTGCCTTCTCACGGGCCCTCTGCTTTTAGTCTCGCCCTGCAATCCATTTGCCATATCCCAGCTCTTCTCCTGGAAACTCTAACAGACCCATGCCCTCGGGGCCGTGCGCCTTTCATCTCCCCTCTCCCGGCCCGCTCCTGCCCCTTGCGATCCGTGCTCAGTCCCACTGAACCTCCTGGGTTTCCAGAACAGGCCCCGCTCCCTCTCATCTCAGGATGTGGCACATGCTGCTTTCTCCCGCTTCCACCTGTTCGGGACTCAGCCAGGGCCACCTCCTCCAGGAGGCCTTCCCAGCCGAGGGCCGTGTGCTCCCTGCGGTCCTCAGTCGTGCCGCAGGCCTCTGGGATTGTCCCTGTCTTCCCCGCTAGGCGGAGCTCCTGCCGGCTGGGGAGCCACATCCAGCTGCAGAGGTTTTAGCAGCGGCGGGCCGCCCGGTACCTGGGATGGGTGGAAGGAATCATGAGATGAAGGCTGGGTACCTCTATCCCAGAAATCCTGTTATTTCTAGGACTTTATTTTCTCTCGGTTTTAGAATGTTCTGGATCTTCAGGTGTTCTCCCAGCTCTTCCCCACTGTCTGGGGTCCCCAAGACCACCCACACCTCATGACCCACTGGCAGCACTCATGGACTCGGCGTAGCTGTGCTCACGGCCATGGTTTATTACCGTGAGGACGCAGAACAAGATCAGCACAGGGAATAGGTTGGGGTGAAGTCTGGGGCAACCAGGCACCAGCTCCCAGCGTCCCCTCCCAGTGGAGCCCCCCAGGACATGCTGCCCTCCCCCAGCAACGGGCCCTGCCAGCACGTGTGAAGTGCTGTCCACAGGGAAGCTCAGTAGGGGCTCGGCGCCCAGGGTTATATTGGGGGCCGGCCATGTGGGCTCCCCCTGCCAGGCATGAAGCAAAATCCCAGGCTCCCAGGAGGAAAGCGGGGGGTCAGCCCCAGTCACCCTGTGTGTGCAAACAGTTCAGGCACAGGGAGCCACTCCGGTCATTTCTGGGAGTGGGGGACCCTCCCGACATCCAGAGGTCAGCCCACGGCCAGCCTTGGAAGCTCTTCTGGGGCCGCAGTCTCAGGCCTGCAGCGTCCCTGTTCTGCACAGCCACCCTTCCCTGTCAGTGTCACAGGCAGTGGGGACCGCCCCCCCCTCCCAATCTCCATCTCCAGGCTCTGGGGAATGACGAGGTGCTCTGTCCTGTGGGTGGAGGCTGTGCTTTAGACATGGAAAAAACGCACCCTGAGAACCATTAGAAATGAAAGGTTCGCTTCTTCCAGCTCCTTTCATATTAGCCGCCAGGTTAGAGCTGCTGGGTCTAATGCAATGGTTCTCAACCTGTGGGTCGCGATCCCTTTGGGGGTCGACCGACCCTTTCACAGGGGTCGCCTAAGACCATCGGAAAACATATAATTACATACTGTTTTTGTGATTAATCACTATGCTTTAATTATGTTCAATTTGTAACTGAAAATACATCCTGCATATCAGATATTTACATGACGATTCATAACAGTAGCAAAATGACAGTTCTGAAGTAGCAACGAAAATAATTTTATGGTTGGGGGTCACCACAACATGAGGAACTGTATGAAAGGGTCGCGGCATTAGGAAGGTTGAGAACCACTGGTCTAACGTTTTATTAACAAGCAGCGTTAACCTTCCTGAAGAACGGCGGAAATGCAATTACCAAGTTCTCCAACTGAGTTCGTTCTGTTCTGAAATAGGATGGAATCCCAGCAGAGGGCAGCCTTGCTGCAGAGCCCGTCACATTCAGAGAGGGCCTTCTTGTCTTTTTGCAGTTGAAAGGCCTGTGGCTTTGGACTGGGCACAGAGCCTGGAGTCCGGCCCTGGTCCTGGGCAGGGTGCTCGACTTCTCTGGGCCTCGGTCCCCCAGAGGTGCGGGACATGGTGCAGTGGGGAAGCGGCTTGTAAGTTGTGTCACGTGGGTGGTTGTCAAGTGTCGTTGCTGTGAGAGTTACTGGCAGGTGGGAGCCTCACCGTCGGTGTGGTTTTGGCAGGTGTCACTGACTCCCTGGGTCCTTACCGCCACGTTCCAGGAAGAATCCTCCCCACGTGGCCTCCCTGCCGAGGGCAGCCCCCGATGGACGAGAGTGGGGTGCACTGCAGCCGAGGGGCCTCTGCCTTGTGGCCCCTTCGCTTTGCCTAGCAGCGTCAGGCTGAGTAAATGTTGGTTGAAAGACAGTCCTGGATTGCGGAGCAGAGCGATGCTGTGACCTGCATGGGGGCAGCAGGGTGGGACCAGGTCGCTCATCGCTTCCAAACTGCCCCAACCTGCTGGGGCCACCCAAGCCCCTGGACTGAAGTCTTTGCCTAGAGTCGGGTCCGCGGTCATCTGGGTGCCGTGACTACTCCAGGCTTGTCTCCCTTGCTGCCCGCCCCAGCTCTCACACACCCTTCAGACAGGAAAAGGCCCCTGCTTTTCCCCACACGTCTTGTCCCTGGGCGGGGGATTGGGGGACTCCTCCAGGGAGTGGCTCTCCCGCAGCCGTCTCCATCTCAGGATGTCCTTCGAGAAGCTCGGCCTCCAGAAACTCCCTGATTATCCTGACCGCACCCCGTGGACCGCACCCCTGCCCATGGACAATGGTAGTCGGTCACCTTTCCCTGCCTGCCCCGTCCTTCCTGCGGGGCAGCGGGGCGTCTGCAGGTGTCCTCTCCCCGCTGAGCCCAGTGTCCAGTGCCGACTGGAGGAGGCTGTGCCCACACCAAGTCAGGAGCTGGAGTGACTACGGAGCTCCTTGCTCCGAAGTGAAAGGACACCCGCCCCTTTTGACTTGGTCGCATTCTTCTGATGAGCAGCGGGCAGAGTCCCCATGACTGCTTCCCTGTCTTCTGCGGGGCCTGCATGATGGCTGAGCCCCTGTGCGTGAGCTCAGGGCACATGTGATGGCCTCGCTGCTTTGCCTCCGAGCGGTGGCTTGTTTGCAGCCCCTGCTTCTCTCTGCCGGCTCAGACCCGTGACGCTGCGTGTGTGCTCTGGTCGCTTGCAGGGGACAACAGGTGCTTCCTGTTCTCCATCTCCCCCAGCATGGCCGTGTACACCTCCACGGGCTACAACAACCACTACATGTACCTGAACCACGGGCAGCAGACCATCCCAAACGGACTGGTGAGGCCTGGGGAAGGGCTGGGGGCGTCCATCCCGGTGGAGTCAGTCCTGATACCCCGGGAGCTGTGTGCGTTCACTCACCCGCGTGCCCTGTTCCGCTCATTCTGCTCGGTGCCAGGGCCGCAGTGAGTGACAGGGAGGACAGAATTTAGCTGGTGGAAGGACGGAGCCTCGGCTGGGGTGTTTTGGTGGCTTGTGTGCGATGGTGGATTGGGCCAATTTTCCTGGTAATCAGATGGCCCGTGGCCTTCGTGGCTGGACACGGTGTCGGTGTCAGACCTGTCACTGGCCTTGCTGCCCTGCCACGTGCCTGGGGCATGAGCTGAGGAAGGGGCACAGCCAGGGCTGGCCTCCCTGGAGCCATGGGGAATTGTCAACTGTAACTCACAAAGTGGGTGACTGCACCTCCTGTCTGCTTTGTGCTCCAGCCTGGAGACTCGGCTACGGGAAGGGGAGAGTGAGGGGGAAGGCCAAGGGCTGGGGTGGGTGAGGGGCAGGCGCCCATGCACACAGCAGCCCAGCACCTGCGGGCCAGCTAAATGTGGGTGAGAAATGTGCCTCTTACCAGCACTCCCGCCCGTTTGTTTTTTCTCTGCTTAACAAAAAGCCTGTTTGGGGAAACTCCAGCCCTGGGTTTGCAAAGCCAGGGTCCAGGAAGGCTGGTCCCCCTGTCAGGATGGAGAGCACCCCCATGCTCTTTCCCAGGCTTGCTGCAGGCCTGCCACGGGGCCACCTGAAGGCCCCCGACACCTCCCAGAAAGGGCAGTTTGGTGACCACAGGGCAAAGGCTTTGGTCTCAGGAGCAGCACCCAGTAGGTCCCCAGGAATCGCCAATCATCAGTCTGAGCGAGAGAAGCCACTGAGAATCGCCTGCACTTTCTTGCTTTGGCCTCTTGTTCAAAAGTAGTTCCAGGCCACCAGGGCCACGAGAAGAGGTGGAGGTGGCACCCAGACACGTGATCAGGGAGGTGGAGCAGCAGTTCTGTCATCGCCAGGAGCTTGGAGCCAGCACTGGGGGGGCGGGGGGGGGCGGTGGCAGAACAGCTCTAAGTCACTCCCCAGGCCTGTGTCACCCCGGGCCTGCTTCCTGGTTTCCCTCCTTGTAGGTGACACACGGAGTGAGGGACTCACACCCTCAGCGCAGTGCCCTGGTCTGTGGGGCATGAGCGTCCCTGCTGCAGGTTTTCCACGAAGTTCTCTGTGCCCTGACGTTGTGTTTCTGTCAGTCAGTGTAGCCCCAAGAGAAAGCCATGCGGGTGGGAGTCCGGACACCTCAGTGATTGTTCCAGTAACTTGTGCTGGGATATGAAAGTCGCACCAGTCAGGATATTTCACTTCTCGTCCCGCGTCTCAGCCAGGTGGCAGAGGCTGACGTGGGCGCGGAGCCTGACGTGCAGGCTGGGGAGATGCTGACGGCCTTCCCTTTGCAGGGCATGGGAGGGCAGCATCACTACTTCGGGCTGTGGGTCGACGTCGACTTCGGGAAAGGACACAGCAAGGCCAAGCCCACGTGCACCACGTACAGCAGCCCTCAGCTGTCCGCCCACGAGGACTTCCGGTTTGAGAAGATGGAGGTGTGGGCGGTTGGAGACGCCTCCCATTCCAAGCTGGTGAGCGTGGGGCATTTCTCCACTTCCTCAGCTTCACCCCTTTTGCTAGATGGAAGCATCTAGAGACAGTTTCTTCCACGTTTGTTTCCCGAATTTGCTGGCCAGAGGGATGCCAGTGGGGGCACAGCAGAATCCTGTCGGGGTCCCTTGGGGGGATTAGCAGAATGAACCACCGGGAAAGTGAGGCCTGCCCAAGGTGGGAACTGGGGTGTGAGGGGCCCCCATCTGCAAGATGAGGTGGGTTGGGTGCCTTCTAGTTCTGTGGTTCTGCAATGAGTCATGGTCGGGCCCTCTGCCCCTTGTCACCTCCCAGCGATGGCTTGCCAGGACAGGGAGACCACGGTGAGGGAGCCAGAGCCCCACCACATTTCCTGTGGCAACAGTAGGCTGTTGGCCCCTCTGATAAGCTTGAAACATCACCTCCGGCTCTGGGCTGCACATCATTGGTCACTGAACACACCCATTTCCCTCTTTCCCAAGGCCAACAGCCACAAGAGCATTCTGGATGCGGACCCTGAGGCCCGGGCCCTGCTGGAGATCAGTGGGCGGAGCCGCCACAGCGAAGGGTACCGGCAAGCCCCTGACCAGGAGTGAGGAGGAGCCTGGACTGAGGGGGCCCTGGAGCTGAGCGTGACCCCCTGGACAGAGCGCTCAGCCTGCAGACCTTCTCCCCATCCTGCGGGTGCTTAGCTTTAACCTAGAGCTGCCTGTTCGTATCCTGGACGTGCTGACTCAGGACACAGTCACCCCTCCGATGCCATACATTGATCAGTGGGTGTGACTCCCAGAAATCCTGTGTGTCAAATTAGCCACTTCAGTCTTGCACTTGGTAAATTTTGTCTCACTGAAGTGCAAAGACACTGAGACACTTGAGACCTCGGTTGGAGTCAGCATTTGAGGGGCATGTGGGTTCTGTGCGTAGGGGATTTGGCCCGCTCAGGGGTCACTTGGCCTCTGAACAGGCTGTCACAGTTAAAGTGCCTTGACATTCCATTTCGACTGGTAAAGGAGGCGTTTGCATGGGAATCGCGATGCTTTTTTATGTATTAATGGGGGGAAATGGCCGAAGATTTCGGAGACAGCAGCAGCCTGGGTCTGCAGTAGGTGTCTGTGAGGGTCCACTTCTGCCTTCTCAGCTGTTTTTAAATGAGCCTGTGCCATGAGCAAGTGGGAAATGAGCGCGACAGAGAAGTTCCGTTCTGTTACTAATCCAGTGTGGGGGCATTTGGAGGCCCTGTGGCCTGTTTTATAAATTTGTGGTACCTTGGCAGCACTGGCCTGGGTTGCGGGCCTCCTGACACGCACCTGTCAGTCTCACCTCCCTGCCCAGTGCTGCTCCCACAGAGGAGGGCTGGCTCCTTTCAGACAAACCCCATGACCCTGAAATGCTAACGACCGCTTAGCTTAGGTGGGCTGGGCTTCCGAGCAGAGCTGCCATCTCCCAGGCCTGAAAAAACTGTAAACACCCTATGCAAACCCCCGCCTTCTTGGAGCTGTGGGTGCCCCTCTCAGACATGTCACTGCATCCTCGAGTCTTTTGCTCTGAACTTTGACCTTTTAGAAGAGCATTTGCCCTGATTATAAGCCATTGCAAACTGAGCCGTTTGCGTTTTGTAGGTTCTTCACTTTCTACCAGGAGGCTCATCAAACTCTGCACTCAGCAGTGCCCTTGACTGAGCAGAAGGCCCTGCAGATTAGCCTCCCAGAGAAAAGCACCCCTCAGACGGTGTGCGGAGGGGCAGCGGCGTGACACGCGCAGATGCAGTCACGCTTGATGTTCCTGATAAAAAGCCAGTTTGTAATGGCTTCTCCAGTACCTTGTGTGACTTCCTCACAGATGGATTAGCAGTTGCAGGACCCTGGGACCCTCAGACGTCCTCACCATAAATCTGAAGAATTCGGTCTCAAATCTTCAGTTTGTTGTGGAATGTTCTTTTCTCTTTATTTTTTATAAAATGCAATTAAATACCTCATTAATAAAAGGTCCATTGGTGTCCGTACCTGGAGCACCATTTCCTGCTGCCTCTGTTTGTGGCTGTCGGGGAGGCGGAGGTTTTGTCTGCCTGCGTGCTTCCCGCCTTGTGCTTGCTCTGATGAGAGGGCATGCAGGTCAAAGGGGGGTGTGTTTCCCACGCTGCACACTTCCAGCGGGGAGGGAGGGAGGGTGCCCAGACCGGGG